CAGAATATAGAAATTCCAATGTGTAAGTGGGAAATAATTAATATGGATTTTGTGGTAGGACTACCATGTATTCCGCGCAAGTTTGACTTAATTTGGGTGATTGTGGATCGACTCACGAAATCAGCACATTTCTTGCTAGTTAAATCTACCGATACAGCGGAACAGTATACTCAGTTGTATATCAAGAAAATAGTCAGGCTGCATGGCACTCCAGTTTCTATCATTTCCAATCGAGGAGCTCAGTTCATGGCCAATTTTTGGAAGAAATTTCATCAAAGTTTGGGTACTCAGGTGAATCTTAGTACAGCCTTCCATCCACAGACCGACGAGCAGGCAGAGCGGACTATTCAAACGCTTGAGGATATGTTGCGTGCTTGTGTTCTTGACTTCAAGGGTAGCTAGGATGATCATTTTCCACTCATAAAATTTGCTTACAATAGCAGCTTCCATGCTAGTATTCAGATGGCACCATTTGAGGCGTTATATGGTAGGAGATGTAAATCTCCCATTGGGTGGTTCGAGATTGGGGAAGCTGAGCTGATAGGACCAGACCTTGTGTATCAGGCTATGGAAAAGGTTAAAATCATTAAGGAGCAGTTGAAAGCTGCTCAGAGTCGTCAAAAATCCTATTTGGATGTTTGTCGTAGAGACTTAGAGTTCAAAGAAGATGATTGGGTATTCTTGAAGGTTTCCCCCATGAAGGGTATAATGCTGTTTGGAAGGAAAGGGAAATTGAGTCCGAGGTATGTCGGGCCATACAAAATCATTCAGAGGATTGGTCAAGTGGCGTACAAGCTTGAGTTACCACCCGAGATGTCGTTAGTGCATCCGGTATTCCATGTGTCTATGTTGAAGAAGGTAGTTGGAGATCCATAAGCTATTGTGCCAGTTGAGACCATTGAGGTTAATGAAGAACTGTCATATGAAGAAATTCCAGTTGCCATTCTTGATAGGCAAGTCCGAAAGTTGAAGAATAAAGAAATTGCCTCCGTGAAGGTGTTATGGCGAAACCAACAGGTTGAAGAGGCTACTCGGGAGGCCGAGGAAGAGATGAAAAAGAAGTATCCTTACTTGTTTGTATAAGCTATGTAACCTTTTTATAAAACTGTAGCCTATGAATTTTTGTATCACTTGTTCGGTTAATGTAAAGGTGCTTCTTTCTAAATATATTGTATGTGAGGCCACGATTGGTGTTTTTATGAGTTATGTTACGTCATTGGATTATATATGTTTTAAGGATGTGTTTCTGAGGCTCTCTGGCAAGTGGATAGGCCTAGTTACAGGGGAAACTCTGGCGAAATTTTTGGAAATTCAGGGAGTTGGTCAAATTTGGGGTTGCTGGTGTGTGGTATGAAAACTGAGTTGCATAGGATAATAATAGTGAGCCTTGATCCTCATTCGAGGACGAATGATCTTAAGTTGGGGAGGATGTAAGGCCCCGTAAAATATTTCCTAAAAACCGGGGTTCCGTGATGCTGGGGTAGGAGTAGAGGTTAATAATAGTAAAAATTCTTCGGAGTTTTCCTAAAAACTGGGGTTTGGACTTTTTGGATTGAATAGTGCACTGGGGAGTTGAAGAAAAATATTTTGCATAAATAGGCATTTCTGCGGCCCATTATGCGGCCGCATAATCACTCTGCGGGCCGCAGAATAGCCGCAGAGTGAAGCAGCTATTTGGGCCATTTTTTATGTCAATTTCGCGGCCAGTTATGCGACCGCACAACCATTTCGCAGGCCGCACTTTTGTCGCATAATCAGCCTTAGAATTTTTGCGGAGGAAGGTTTTGCGGCGCATTATGTGACCGCAGAACAGGTCTGCGGGCCGCATAACTACCGTAGACCCAGGCAAATTTTTTTCAGTTTTTGGCACTAAATTATGCGGACCGTATATCCATTCTACGATCGCATATGCGGCCGTATACCCTATTTCCGAGCTTTATTTTTAGGTTTTTATAACCCGACCCTACTTCGTTAAACACACGCAAAGGATCATTTTTGAGCAAAACTCCTGATGTTTTAGAGAGAAGGGAGAGTGTTTTAGAGAGAGAGAGAGAGAGAGAGAGAGAGAGAGAGAGAGAGAGAGAGAGAGAGAGAGAGAGAGAGGAAACCCTAGGCTAATTTTCTTCAATCCTTGCTCCAATCTTGGAAGATTAACAAGGATAACCCACAAGGTCTTCATCCTAAAGGTAAGATTCTACATCCTAACCCTCAATTTAAAGTTTTGTCTAGAATTGGGTAATTAGTAAGATAATATTTGGGCATGGGAGTTGTTATCTTGCATGCATGTGTTATCAAATAATGTAGGAAGGTTGTGAGCTAAAAATGGTAGAGAATGGGTTGAGGGATGATGGAATATTTTGTAAAAGGTCCTTAAAAACCTTAGTGTACACCTAGTGCTTGATAATATGCTCAAATGAGCTAGAATCATGATAATCTTCCTAATTTTGGTTCAATTTGTTATATTTCTAAAATAGATTGAAGTTGCTAAGAATTCCAAAATATTTTAGAGTTTAAAGGAAGCTCAATTGAGGTATGTTGGCTAAACCCCTTCTTCTTAGAATTGAGTTCCACGGTCTTCGTGTGATTGGTGTAAGTTATGTAAGACCCTAGTTGATCATTATGAAATCGGTTATCCCGAGTAATCTTCTGTTGAAGGATATATGTTCAATATGTATTCTAAATGCTTCATCGTGCCATCTTATCATTTAAGGATGTGTTCAAATTATAGAATATGTGTTAACAATGTTAAGACTTCAAGTCAAGATCGAATAAAGGATGTTATGCCAAATTGTATGAAAAGCCTCTATGTGCCTAAGATTCCCTAATTACTCATATGTGTATTTAATATCTTGAATGGAAAGCCTTATTGTTGTTGAAGATGATAATGATGTTTGAATGTGGAAAGGGGAACTAAAATTATGAAATATGGCCAAGTGCCAAGAATGACTTTATAACTGTGGCCACCTGTGCCAATGAATTAAAAAGAGGTAAAAGAGGTATGAAGTGAGATGATTGATTGAAAAAGGTAATGCCTAGAGTGAGACGGCCTAGCCGATCGGGCCGTGATCGGACGCCATGCCCCACATATGGTGGTAATTGTGCTGGAAATTATAATGAAATTATGGTTATTGTTGATGTCTCAAATGAGACGACCTAGCCGATCGGGTCGTGATCGGACTCCGTGTAAGAATACGGTAGTATTGTGAATTATGGTATATCGGCACTAAATATCACCCAACCTGATAACATGAAAATTGACTTGAAAACTTATGTGATCCTTAACTTGATGTTTTAGTATTATTTGAAGCTCTTATTGAATTCTTGATTATTTCCCCTTGTATTATTATTCACTCTAATGAGATGGTGTTTAGTTTTACATACTTGTACTATTCGACAGTACTAACGTCCCTTTTGCCGGGGGCGCTGCATATTTAAATGGATGCAGGTGGTTCCATAGCAGGCAGTGTTGATCAGCGATAGTGGTACATCCTCCTCTCAGCAGACTTGCTGAGCCCACTTCATCCTTGTATCTTTTGTTCATATTATTATCACGTTTCGAGGTATAGCCGGGCCTTGTTGTCGGCACTATCAAAATACTCTTTGTATCTTTTAGAGGCTCCGTAGACACTATGTGGGTTGTACATGGGTGCTAGAAAAGTCAAACAAGTTATGCTGTGTTTTGATCACTTGTTCCACTCAAACTATAAGAATATGTGTATTTTGAGACTTAAAAGTGAAGTAACTAATGAAATGATTTAGAATTGTATTCATGATCTTCCTATTGTCTAATTAATGAATATATGTCACTTCTTTTTCCATGAGTGAGTTTGGGGTAGAAAGTATCTAGCAGGCTTGCTTGGCCGGGTGCACTCGGTTGAGCGTCGGTCGCGCTCCCCGAGTTTGGGGCGTGACACTTGTTCTTTAATTTTTGATGAAATCTCCAGAAAGGGTTACCCTCGACTTCTATGTTCCAAGCATCTCTAACTACATCCTTAAAGCCTTCTCGATCAGTCCAAAGTTAAGAAATCTAAAATATCTCATTGTAGGCATACTACCAGAGGTTACTTTCAGGTTTCAGCCATAGAGGGGCATGGTCAGAGTTTACTCTAGGTAGATGAATCACTGAGGAGTTGGAGTATTTGGTAGCCCACTAGTGATTGAGCAGAACCAAGCATTCTTTTGTATTTCTGAATCTTATCTTTGTCCACAAAGAGTTCTAGTATAGCAATAAAGGTGAGATTGTTATTGGTTTTGAGGTATTTTAGTCTATCACAGGCATTTTTAATGCCTCTAGTGTTCCAAAAAAGTGTGCTAATCATTGGAGGATTGGGCAGTGGTTGTGAGCTTAGCTCTGGATCTTGTCAGAGGGATACACGAAGAAATAATAGTATCATTTTTACTATTGTTTGCATGTATGTTTAGGTTAGTGTTCGATTGTGTACTCCAAATATAGCACGATTTAGCAGCAAGAATACCAGATTTTTTATAGCTTAACCACCATTTAGACTGAAAAGAGACCACATTTCTAACAGTAAAACTTTCAAATCATTTTTAAGCTGCCAGAAATATTAAAATTTCAACATAATTAATTTTCACTAGAAAGTTGAAGAGGAACTTTGAAGCAATAGTTAAGTTATCTCCATCTGACCTATATGTTATGAATTGAAGCAATCAAATCAGCCACTGATGTTTGTGTCAGGTTAGGCTGTCAACATTACACTCTTGGGGTGCAAATCTTACCTAAACACTACGTGAATGCGAGATGCTTCGTGCATAAGGTTGTCTTTTCTATTCCGTTGGAAAGTTCATTCTAGAATTTGGATATTATCGACAGCCAGGCTGCAGGATTTACATTTACCATAATAAGTAATTTTCACGACCACACCGTCGATAAATTAAATATTTACACCGACCTAAGTTTCAGAATTATGAATCTCAGAAAATAAACAAATAAGTGCTATACTCAATAAATTTCAGAGTGGAGTAATTCATTAACCGGCTGAGAGTAAAAAATAAACACTTAAAACTCTGAATGCTGGTTATCCTTTATTATACAATGCAGAAAGAGTATACAGAACTATCACAACTTCAACCACTTGTACACACCACCTACATAAGAGGGCTATTTATAGTACATTTGTACAACAAGATGCTCAAAATCATGCAAGGAAGAGAAGGGCATTTATTCACTTTTACAGACAACCAACGTATGGACTACCCAATATTCAAGAAGTCCTCAGCCTGTCAAATGTTGAAGAGCCATCGTGTGCAAAAATGTCCATGATTCTGTCAGATCCATCGCACCCCGTGCTTATGCTGCGAGAGAGATGAAAAGGTGCTAGCAGCGAGGATGATCAATCTTTCTTGTAAACCAATGTTGGATAATCCGGACTCCACATATTTTTCTCCACGAACTCAGATATTTGTGCCTGCAATAGTTCCACCAATTAAAGAACTCAAGTTTTTAAATTATATTAATGTAGGCAGTTATCACGGCTAACTGAACAAGCTTCTCGAACAATCAAAATAGGTTTAGGTTCTCCTTAGTTGCAGTTCATTAATGTTCTGAATAGAAGCTACCACCAATTACAAAACCCTTGTTTTTTTAAAATATATTACTGTAGGCAATTATCACACAACTACACAAATTTCTCAGACGGTCAAAAAAGTTTTAGGTTCTCCTTAGTTTCTTTTTTTTTATTTTTTTTAAAAAACCATTTGGTATCCAGAAAGAACTATACCAACAAATTCAGATTCGTGCCGCATAGGACCTATTTAAGGGGGAAGCACTCCTTAGAATTTTTCCATTCCCATAGCTCGAAACCGAGACCTTTCTCGTTAAAGGCGAAGGGATCTCATCCATCCCACCGCATACATTGGTGGTAGATTCTCCTTAGATGTAATTCAATAACATGTTGAATAGAAGCTACCACCAACTAAGGAATCCAAGTTTCAAAATATATTACTGCATGCAACTATCACACTCAACTCGGGGTGGACACACCAGGTACATGAATCTCTTCCTTTATGTTGTTGCCAGCGCTTTCCCGGACCAAGCTGGTATTTTGTTATTACAAAGGGCAGGCAAAGCCCAAAGGCACTATCCCAAGAGAAAAGGGGGAACAAGGAGAGGACCTGGAAATTATTGTAATCTTGTCCAATCTTGTGAACCCTACATCCATCTTATATCCGAATTTTTACGAAATTTATCTTGCAGGTACATCGGATCTTAGAGACCCAAGAATGCCTCGCATTTAACTTTGTTAGACTCATAATCATGCTATAGAATTTGTCTTTCACCATGTTAGGTATTTTTCATCACATAGAAATCTCGTAGCATTCTTCCATTTCGTGTATCAATCTATTATGCATGTTAAATCTTCAGCTATCATTTCCAATCTACCATGGGAATGAGCTGAGATATCTAAATTATGTGCATTTATGCACCACAGTATCGTCTAAATCTCATTTTCATTCATTCTTCTTATGCCTTCATTCTCATCAGAGCTAACTTTGCAATTCATATACTGTCTTAATTCCATCTTATTATGAAACCGTTGCAATTTAACATGCTTCCAGTGGTTCATAATTTGGGTTGGCGATTCCCTTCCAGTGGTTCATTCATAATTTGGGTTCATAATTTGGGTTGGCGATTACCTTGCGTAAATAGCATGTACTTCATACTATATATTATTGGTTAGTTCATTCATAACTGGGGTAATTATACATAGTCAAAACAAGTCCCAGGTGCAAACACACGGTTCGGGAAGCTCCTATATATCTCCAAAGATAACTGGTTCATAAAGTAAAAATACCTCATCAAGTTTCCGTAACTCTCGACTGTCCATTTCACGGTATCCTTCTGCTAGATCCTCTTCTATAGCTTCCTTTACCACAGCTGCAGCTACCTCCTTTGTTATATCACGTATCCTGTGATGAAAATAGTTCATTCACTAAGTTTAGCAACAATGTAAATCTGAAGCATATAGAGCAATGACATCTTAGTGATGCATTTCAAAATGTAAAATGATTCTCAAGAGATGGAGAACTATATCTAGAAGGTTGAGGAAGTCTAGAGTTTTGTAAGACCGTCTTTAATTGACATCCAAGAGGGTTTTACTGGGAATTTAGCAGATCTTGAGAACTGGTGCCAACTTGAGACAAGTTTCTTATCAGTCTCCAACTAAAGAAATTCATAAGCATTTTTCTGAAATAAAAATTTTGTATCTCATGTCTGGAATGCAACTCCTGAGCAAACTGAGAAGACTAACATTCCTTATCTATTTTTAGGTGGCAGCAAAATAGATAAAACTTCTCTACTAGTCTCATAATGTTGCTTTGTGTTCCTAAAGTTGCCACCTAGTAGTTTTTTTCCGGTGAGTTGTCCCCCTGTAAATGAAGCTCCCAAATACTTCTAAAGAACATACCTGGATATCGAAGGGTATATAACCCCCTTGAGGACGTCCTCCTCTGTCATATATGCAGCCAAGCTGCAATATCCACGTCTTAGTTAGAAAACAGAAGTACATACTCATGTGCTAATAGATCGGTAGACTCGGAAACTTTACTAAAGCATCGAAAGAGTTAAGTACCACTCAGCTGCAGCCTGCAACATGCCATCTGAAACAATTCTAGATCCCGACAGGAGAGTACCAAGTCCTATTCTGAAGCATGTACGAAAAACATTGTTAGGAGGAAAAGAAAAACAACAGAAAAGAGAATATGGAAAAGCTTAAACTAGCTAGCTTCATCTTTGGACATTTGGAGTCTAACCCAGGAAAAAGGAACATGTTGTTTGCTTGGTTGCAGTGTCCAACATGACCATTTCCTGCAAAATTCCATGCAGATAAAAATTGTTACTCCAAGGACAAGATCTGTATATTATCATCTGATATCAATTTATCTTGTATGGCTTTACCTATACTAAAATCAAAATTTTCCAAACTTTTACCGATAAAAAAATTGAATTTTTTAAACTTTTCTTTACAATATATTTTTCCCCCAAGTATATTTGCTAAACATGCTTGATGAATATCCTATTAGCATTTTTCTCTTGTCAAAAGCAAGAAGAAATGCTATAATGTTACACAAAGATGTAATTCTTTTATTGAAGTACTGCAGAAAAATAAATATCAGAAAGTCGGACTGTAACATTTACCTTATCCTAAAAGCTTCTCTTGTTAAGTATTTAATTAGGTACAGAGAAGGACGAAACAGAGACAGAGAGAGAGAGAAAAGAAACACAGAGAAATTCTAAAGAAAGTTAGGAGAGTATCTGTCTTAAGATGTTCGACAACAATGTTCTTCGACGTGTATAAACAAAACTTGGTTATTTTCCAATTTAGTCTTGCATAAAAGCATGCTTAGACTTCAAACAACCCTATATACATTAAGATCATATGCACTTAAAAGTACTTTAAAATGTTGGTTTTATTAATTAGTGAATGATATATCGAATCAAATTTGAAATATCTCACACAAATAAATAGAAGTTGTCATGTAATTATATGCATGAAGAATAAAAGAGTAGCATGACCAACAACAGTTGTGATGGAGTGGTAAGTGCTCCTTCATCCTTAACCAGAGGTCTCGGGTCCGAGCCCTGGGTATGGAGTCGCCTTTGTTAGGGAACGCTTTACCCTTCAATGTGGGACTTCCATACGCGTATCCAGATTTAGCCATGCCCCAATGCGGGTACCGGAGACCGGGCGGAAAATCAAAAAATAAAATAGAGTAGCATGAATTTTTGTATTATACCTAAAAACTGCTGCATCCCATTTTATCTGATTCTGGTTCCTTATTAGTGTGTTTCCCCAAAAGATTGACACATTTCTATACTTGAAAACTATTTTAAGGTAACACCACTTTTTTATCCTCAGTGATATGACTAGTTGGAAACCCACTTGATGAAAAAACGGACTTTTTTATTAGGAGAGAGAAAGAAAGGTTATGTGGAACTCTTCCCACATCTCATTTAATTGTTGGTAGTAAGAGCAATTTTGGTATTCTGCGTATATTTAACTTGTACATCAAAAGTCTTTGTTTTTTAAACTACCTGCCCAGTCAAAACCAATCACATAAAATGCGACAAAAGAAGTAATTTTTATCAGGAATATTGGGATGAAGGGAGTATTACAGATTACATAAATTTACTACTTTTTTATTGCTATCTATGTATAAAAATCTTACATACATGTAAACCAGTATTCCAAATGTTAAAAAACCAAAAGGAGAAATGTATGAAAACACCAAAAGAATGATAGCAGGTGTTAGAATACATAAGTTACTAGACATACCAAGATCCACATCCTTGAATGGACTTCCACTTGCAAAAATAATGTTGTCACCAACAATAGAAAATGCTTCCTCAGGGGTGCATTCAGCTATTAAAGAAGAAAGTTGTGAATGAGAATGCCATCAACCTCAAAATCTTGCAAGTTTTCAATTAGTATATACCATTTCTTGTTGGGTTTGACATTGGAAAAATTGCAGGCCGAGTTGAAGTTGAATGTCTAAGGGCTTCCAATACCTGAAATTTCCAAAATTTCTAACACAAATCTTCCAGCAGTGCCAAAATAGAAATTAAAGCCTACAAAGACAGCTGATAAATCTGTCATGCGAAATCACCATTATAACCACAAGAAAAAAACAGGTAAGGAAGAGGGACATGGAATGAAACCAAATAATAGCCCGGGCTGCTCAATAATAATAGCCCAGGATGCATCTCATTCACACAATTTTGCTCAGTCACCCACATAATTGATACTGAAAAATAACTTTACTTTACCAACATAAAGTAATGCACCAAAGCACTTCTCACAACCAAAGCACTTCACTTTGTGAGAAGTACACATGCTTTTTATAAATCTTAAGCGAAGGTATAATTAAAACCCGAAACCTGAGCAAGAGAAAGTAAAGAACAAACAAAGCTGGTATAGAGTAGCCATACAGAAATCGAAAGTAAACCAGAAAAAAAAAAGATAAACAGAACACCTTAAAGAACCTGCACACGGTATTGTTACGTGGTTGTCTCAGAAAAGCCACTATTCAAAGTTAAAGGGCTCTCATATTCTCTTTTCCCCTTTCTCCTTTACAAGTCACATTTAAAGCAGCTCTCCATTCTCCAGCGTACAAATGCCAATCCAAAAAAGCCAACTTTAATGCTCACAAAAAGAGGGAGAAGGATGTGTTTCCAGTTCTCACACCTTTAAGTGGCCATAATGCTAAGAAAGATTTGGGAGGAAAACATGTGCTCCAACTAAAGCAAAAACATTTCCATGTTCAACTTTTAAATCAGCTAATATTAAGTTATTATTCCAAAATGGAAAATGAGAATCCTTAAACCCAGTCTTGGCCCGTTCTTTATATGTTAGCCTGCAGACACAAGTCTGCTACAATGAACTTTATAGAAGCAGACATGAAAATCCAATCACCATGCCTCAATGTTGATTGACAATTACACAAATGACATATTTCTTAGTAGGAAATAGCATTGTGGTTTCACATTTTATTTTATGACAATACAAGAAAGTTTCTCTTTTTTCGAGTTTCGAAAGGTCATCCAAGAAACAGAGAGCCTCTCATCTTTACTAAAATACTATCTCCAATGGATAGGGAATGACATCACTCTGATTTGCAGAATAAGAATTAGGAGCTCTCCCTTTTATGGCAGAGATATTTTCATACCAAGAAAATGAATAAAAATGGATCAAATCCCTCCATTTCCTTCCAATTGGTGAGATTCAATCTCTTTCTTGGGAAATTATGGTCAAGCCATCCCCCCTTTATTCCTCAGAATCACAGGGAGTGTTTGATAACAATAAACACTTTAAAACAATGAACTAAGAGGTTAGACATCAAATTTATTAAATTAATATAAACCCACTCAATATGTTAATTTTTCACATAAATTGCTGAGATCTGGAATCCAGCAAATTTGCCTGATCAAGTTAAACCAAAAACTAGATCCATTTTGGAATCTGGAGATGCAATTTAAAGTATATTTAAAAGCAAACCTTCTCATGTAAAACGTGTATAATTAAAAACAAAATCAACATATTTATTTAGCATGACTTTATCTTGTTGTCTTTTGAATAATTTTTCCATAATTATTGGACATTAGAATAAAAATTAAGCATTCAAATTTAGATTGTCAAATTTAAATTTTGACTAGTAAAACCCATCCTACAAGCTAGAAAATTTGCAATTTCTAAATTCCAATTTCATATGAAAGAAGCGGACACCTCAATTCATTTGCAATGAGTTGTAGCCAGTAGTTTTTACTTAAAAACTCGTTATTCAAAGAAATCTGTGTGATTTTCCCCCTAAATTTCACAACTATATCTTCAAAGAACATTGTGCGAACCATCTGTCATTCTAGCATCAAGCGCTGCAAGAAATTATCATGTACAAGCGAGATAACAGCAAAGCAAATCTCCATGAAAATATATAAATTAAGGTTTTTTCTTCTCGTTGCGGCAACGAAATAAAAAGGAACAAGTGCATATATTTATGTAGCTAAAATAAATGCCAAATTATCAATTTCTTCATTTTATACCTCTTTTGAAAACAAGCCTCCAACAGCAGACAAACCAAGAAGTACATCCGGCTTCACTTGGTGTACCTGAACCAATACATAGTAAGATTGGAGTCATACTAATAGTACACAGCGACAAACATAAGAGATGTTTCACTCATGAATTAATGCATTTCTTGGTATATAAGCTTCTATCTCTACTCCCTCCTTCGGGTACCTAACTTTTTCACTCTTCAACTCCGTCATGTATCCTCACGACTAAAAAGACAAGCTATACGAGTTCACAAGTCAGCTGATTAGCAATAGTTATTCAAAGTCAAAGCCTCATGAGTACCTACACTTCATGATTACCTACAGTTACTGTAATAGAAGGATTTTCCACTTTTAGCTTATGGAAGATCTTAATCTTATTGCATTGAAATCCATGTTCTCAGCACCATCGTTCAAGTAAATTTTAAATTTAAAGTTCTAGTTTATCTTGACTTAGGTCGTGTCAGAGTTTAGCCATCACCATATTATTTCACTCATCTGTCCAATTAGCTTCTATCCTTCAACCAACATAATTAGTTTAGTTTGAACACAACTGTGATATCTTGTTTTGCCTCCATCTACATTTCCTTGAGATGTCAAATGTTTATCTGATAAATGAAACAGTCATCATGTAAATTTTCCTTTTTAACTAGATATACTTAACTATACTCAAAGTAAACAGTTGAAAAATAAGAAAATTCCGAGTTGGTATTAAGACAAGACGGTCCATAAAAAAACCCGAGTCTTAGGACCCGTTTGGCCATAGATTTTGCCAAAATAAATTTGGGTTTTATTTGGCAAACACATGTTTGCCCGTAGATTTTGCCTACATTTTGGCAAAATCCCAAATCCCAAAACAAACTCAATAGCTGGTTTTGGGCCAAAATATCACTATTACATTTTTTAAAAATTGCCCCAAACTTTTGTATTTTATAAAAGAGTCCACCATTTATTATTTTGTAACAATGTTGCTTAGTCTTCTCGGTCACCTGATAGTGTATCATGTAGTTCATTATAAAAATGATAATTTTGTATCAAATTTATTTATGTTCAAGACTATGGTTTGCGATAATATAATGAATGTTATTGATAATGGTATTGTTGGGTATTTGTGATAGTTTTTAGAACTTGTGGGTATAAGTCATGTTTCATGTTTTTCCAAAATAAATTTGGGAAATATGTTTTGAAAGCTGATGTACAAACACATTTTCATCTTCAAACCAAACTTCACCCAAATCAGATTTTTCAGAAAAAATTTGGGAATCTATGACCAAACGCTAGCTTAAAAAAATGAAAGTCAGTTTTCGCTCATGAAAGGATAAAGGCTAATTACCACTTCCGCAAGAGTTGCACCTTCTCTCAGTCGTTGGCGTTCAGTCTCTTTGATCTTTCTAGCAAATGGGCGAGCATCAGGATCAATATTATCACGTGCCTCAGTAATTAAACCCTAAATACATTTAAAAACAACCATCAATAATAACGTCATAGTTACATCCACCTAAAACATTTCATATCCACAAAGAAGATACAACAACAACAACAACCCAGTATAATCCCACTAGTGGGGTGTGGGGAGGGTAGTGTGTACGCAGACCTTACCCCTACCTTGGGGTAGAGAGGCTGTTTCCGATAGACCCTAGGCTCCCTCCCTCCAAGAGCTCCCCACCTTGTTCTTGGGGTGACTTGAACTCACAACTTCTTGGTTGGAAGTGGAGGGTGCTCACCACTAGAGCAACCCCCTCTTGTCCACAAAGAAAATATTTATAGAAATGCAAAAAGAAGTTCAAACTAACATTCACCATAGATCGACGTACTGTAGGCATTCGATCAGACTACTTTTGAGGATCTAAGCACAGAAAGGTAAAGAACCGCATCAAAAGCATTAAAGGCACAACAGAAGTCTGAATCATGAACTGCTCACAGGCAGGAAGCACCTCAGCACTTTTCAGGACCTTGCTTGTTGCTTTGCCCCATATAATTATTGCCAAAAGAGACTGGTACTTAATATGTGGTATAACGCTATAATTACTCCCTATGTGTCAAATTTCTGCCTGATATTCCACTTCTTTTGCTATATCCGTACTTTCTTTCCCATCTTTCTATGCAATAAACTCAAACCACCACTGGATTTTTACTTGTACATAGGGCTTGTGCTCTCACTGTATATCTGTGTGCTTTGAGTCAGGATCAGCATTGTCAAAGGTGAGCATAAAAAAGCCCAAATATTTGCTATAGTTTAAGTGCAAAGAGTAATTCAAGCACCAGCTTTAGTGAAAGAGGATGTAAATGACTACAAAAAAAGGGCAACCCGGTGCACTAAGCTCCTGCTATGTGTGGGATCCGGGGAAGGGCCGGACCACAAGAGTCTATACACAATGCGAGAAAAAACAGTAAATACAAGCAACAATTCTACGGATCTTTGAATTGAAAATATATGAAGTAAAAATTATGTAATCTAGTTTTCAAAAGTACAATTACATGAAATATATTAAGTAAAATTATGATGTAATCTAGTTCAAACCATTAGACTTCTGATTCAGACAAAAAAATGGAATCTTAAGTTAATAATGTAGGTCAAGTGACTAGTTTGCTTATTGTAGATTTATAATTTCTATTTCTAATCAGTAAAAATTCGTTCATTCATTCATTAACATAATATATCACTTTGTCGATTATATTTATCGTTTAATAAATTCCCTTTCAAGATAGAGTCCATGGGTGATAAGGTGCATCTTAAGTAGCCTGACGTTTTGTTGCCTGGACTGAAGCGCTGCCTGAGTTACGCAAAGTGCCGAACCTATGTCCCACCTGCCTTCAAGACTTAAGCATGAACCTTTTAGCAAAACCACTATGGACGAGACTATTATATCAAAAAATTAAGCAACAGTGAACTGAGAACATATAATACTAGAGTTTTACAATAACATATGCATGACAATGCTGACAAAAGCAAAAGACGCACTGAAGTACCAAAGTATGTTAGGGCAAACGCATAGTGTAATTAAAACGCACGATTTAGTAAAGAAAGGTGTATAATGAAGAAAAAATTTATATATATATATAGGAAATCAGTGTCAATTTGGAATGAGGTCCTTGAGAAGATGGAAAAAAGGTTGGAGAATTGGAAGAGACAATATCTCTCCCTGGGTGGTAGAATAACTCTAATCAACAGCGTGCTTGACGCACTACCCACTTACACCATGTCTCTATTTCCGGCTCCTTCTTCAGTGTTGAAACGCATGGACAAATTAAGGAGAGATTTTCTTTGGAATGGCAATAAACTATCAAAGCCTATTTGCCTTGTAAATTGGAAAACAGTCATCAAAGACAAAAGGAAGGGGGGTCTGGGAATTAAAAACCTTAAGAATCATAATGAAAGTCTTCTGATGAAGTGGCATTGGAGATTCAACATGGAGGAAAATGCATTTTGGAGGAGAACTTTTGTGGAAAAGTTTTCGTTGGACAATCCATGGCGCACCAAAGAGTCTAGAGTGCCTCATGGCACCGGTTTATGGAAACATATTAGAGGGCATTGGAACAAGTTTGAGTCAAACATGGGTTTTATTCTTGGCAATGGAAGAAAAATCAGGTTTTGGGAAGATGCATGGTTGGGTCATACGCCACTAAAAGACCAATTTTCAGATTTTTATAATCTATCCTTGCGTCACAATTGGGGCAATTGCAGATTTCTGTACATCGCAAGGCTGGAATTTGAGACTTGGAATATTAATGATTGGGAAATGGAGAGGGTAGGCCTCTTGCTACAATTGCTAAGCAACACTGTTTTGGACCACTACAAAATGGACTCTATCAATTGGAAGGGTCACTCCAAGGGCATTTTTTCAGTTAAAGGCTGTTACAATATATTGGGTTGTAGCAACAGTGAGTTATGGCCTTGGAAAAAAATATGGTACAACATGGCACCTTTAAAGGTTTCTTGCTTCTCTTGGATTGTGGCTAAGGAGGCATGCCTTACAGAAAACAATCTCCAGAAGAGGGGTTTCAAGCTGTAAAGCAGATGCCCTTTATGTGAAGAACAATCTGAAGATGTTACCCATCTTTTTTTGCATTGCAAGGTTACAAACCAGTTATGGAACATGTTCTTTTCAATATTTGGTATGTCTTGGACCATGCCTAACTCCATTTCAGAAATGCTGAAATGCTGGACCAGGGAGGGTCTATGCAAGGAAGCTCAAAAGACCTGGAACACTGTTCCTCAAGTTATCTGGTGGTCTGTCTGGCTTGAAAGAAACAGGAGAATTTTTTAAGGCAAAAGAAGAAATTTACAGTGCCTTAAGCTTAATTGCATTTTGTTGATCGCTTTTTGGTGCAAACTGGCTTTTGCACCTGATGTAGATGATATTTTAGACGCAATTGCTGATTTGCACAACCTGTAATTATGCCTGTTGACTGGCTTAGTGCAAATAATTATATAATATATTATTTACCCATCAAAAAAAAATTGTATATATATATAGTGTATACATAATGCACAGAAAAGTAACTATGACCAAATAAGCAAAATTTTATTCATATTATTGAAAAAACATAATTATTTGTATAAGCAGTATATATATAGCTTCTGGTGAAGCTGTTAAAGTAGTTGTATGCTAAGTTACTCGGACACGGGTGCGGGTGTCCGACACGGGTGCAGATCTAGAGGTCGGATCCTTCGAGATGTAAACTATAAGATTCGGGGATATGGATCCTAGTACGGATACGGGTGCGGGGATACGGCTAAAAATAATTCAAAAATAAAATAAAAATAAAAATATATCTAAATTATGAGGAATTTGGTGAAATACTTATGTATAGCTTGTAAAGTGTAGATTTCTTTTTTATTCTCAAGCTGTAGATAAGTAAAGAATTGATTTCCTGGATAAGGTATGCTATTTTCTTCAAATTCGCCCTAGTTTTGGTTCTGATTTCGGGAATTAAATTGTATCCCGTCTCGAATTTTTCCGCCCATCGCGGTCAAAGTACCCAAAATTGTTTGACCAAATCCGGTACGGATCCCATACCCACACCCATACTATTGTCGTGTCGACACGGGTACGGTACTTAAACTGCCGTGTCGGAGCAACTTAGGTTGTATGGATAAAAAAGTTCTTAATTGAACTTGGTGTGGTTCCTTCAATAGAAGGTGCAACTCCATTGTTGTGTGACAATACTTGTAACGACCTGACTGGTCGTTTTGAGCTTTATCATTTTCGTTCAGCAGTTTGAGGCTTTGAGTAACTTCATATGGTGCATTATGACTTGCGGGTATGGTTGATTTCGATGTTCGAGAGGATCGGGTCTTCGGGATCGTTTTGGAAGAATGATTCTCAATTGAGAAGCTTTAAGTTGGAAGAGTTGACTAAGGTTTAACATAACAACTTGAAATAAACTTCATACACATGATACCCATACTCTAGGTCCAAAATTTTGTTGACGGACTCCGATTGCCCTGGAATTTGGTGGGACACTAGGAAACGGCTTAATGACCATTGCTCATCCTTTCTCCATGATTTTCGGGTTCACTATCAAAGACAATCAAAACCATCTTAAATTTCGGGTCAAATGGCAAGATACAATTTTAAGTAGGGAGATGAAGAAGGACTTGCATATGGTATTCATTGACCTAGAAAAAGCTTATGGCAAGGTACTCTGTCCTTCTAGGGTAGGGGTAAGGCTGCGTACATCTTACCCTCCCCAGACCCCACTTGTGGGAAAATACTGGGCTTGTTGTTGTTGTTGTACTTCAGGTTATTGGGACTTTAGGACATAAATGGTAGATCTGAGACAAGACACAAATACTTCAAAAACATAAAATTTTAGGTATAAGAATAATGTTATTTTAGTTTTACTTTGAAACTCCAGTACTATTGTTGCTTGTATAATTGACCTTTCCTGATTGATTCTGAAGTAACCCATTTGTTACTGTTGTTTCAAAATGTATTTTCATTTTTTCTCTGGAAGCACATAAAAGGATTTGGAGAAGCTCGGCTATGCATCATGATGGAGGTCGACACCAAAAATAGCGCTCGTAGCCCACACTTCTCAGCTTGTTTGATGTTCCATACATCAATTTTTTCACTTCTACCTATGTTCAGGGACGAGGAGTATGAAGAATAAACGAGGTCCTAAAAAGCTGTCCCTGTTGCAGCCTTTAGAACCATCTAATTTCATTTTCATGATATTTGCAACAACTTAGAGTTTTCATGATCAAGTATTCTGTTTTTTCCTTCTATTCCCTACACTATCTCTAAACAGGTAGTAAATGTAGACACTTGAACAACAACCAAAAAAAACACAGTGTAATCCTACAAGTGGGGTCTGGGGTAGTGTGTACGCAAACCTTACCCCTACCTTATGCAGATAGAGAAGTTGTTCTCGATAGACCCTCGGCTCAGTCCAGCATAGTCGCAGCATTAAAGCAAAAGAAATATAGTAATGAAATATCATGAAAAAAGCAGTAACAACAGCGAGATAGTAACAAAACCGATGCAGAAGTAACAACAGATAGTGATAGACATCCAAGAATAAGATAAAATAAGAGTAATACTAAAACCACCGATAAGGACCGGAAATAAGCTCTGCTATCTACTAACCTTCTACCCTAATTCTCGACCTCCACAACTTCGTAGCAAGGGTTATGTCCTCAGTAAGCTGAAGATGTGTCATGTTCTGCCTAATCACCTCTTCCTAATACTTCTTCGGCCTTCCTCTACCTCTCCTTAGACCCACTATATTCAACATCTCACACCTCCTCACTGCGCGTTAGTGAATCTCCTTTTCACATGTCCGAACCATCTCAGCCTCATTTCCCGCATCTTATCCTCCACGGGGGCCAACCCTACCTTTTCCCGAATATCTTTGTTCCTGGCCCTATTCCTCCTAGTATGCTTACACATCCATCTCAGCATCCTCATTTCTGTTGTTTTCATTTTTCGGACAAGAGAGTTGTTGACTGACCATACTCCGTCCCATACAATATAATTGGTCTAACCACCACTCTGTAGAACTTACCTTTAAATCTTGGAGGCACACTCTTATCACACAAGACACCGGATGCAAGCCTCCATTTCATGCACCCCGCTTCAATACGGTGTATGACATCATCATCAATCTCCTCATTACCTTGGATTACTGACCCCAGTTACTTGAAACTTCCTCTCTTGGGGATGACTTGTCATCAGGCCTCACTTCCACTTCAGCTTCCTGAGTTATGTCACTGAACTTGCACTCCATGTATTCGGCTTTGGTCCTGCTCAACTTGAAGCCTTTGGACTCCAGGGTCTGTCTCTAGACCTCCAGCCTAGCATTAACTCCGCCTCGCATATTGTTAATCAGCACTATATCATCTGCAAATAATGCACCAAGACGCCTTCCCCTGAATGTGTCGCGTCAATACATCTATCGCCAAGGAGAATAAGAACGGGCTAAGAGTTGATCCTATTGCAACCCCATCACGACTGGTAAGTGTCCCGAGTCTCCTCCCACTGTCCTTACCGGGTCTTAGCACCATCATACATGTCCTTAATCTCCCTAGTGTACACTACAGGAACACCTCTAGCCTCCAAGCACCTCCATAGGACTTCCCTTGGGACTTTGTCGAACGCTTTCTCCAGATCAATGAACATCATATGCAAGTCCCACTTCCTCACCTTATACTGCTCCACCAATCTACTTATAAGATGAATGGCTTCAGTAGTCAATCGCCCCGGCATAAAGCCGAACTGGTTCTCAAAAATACACTCTCCTCCTTACCCTCATCTCCACCATCCTCTCCCAAATTTTCATAGTGTGGCTTAACAGCTTGATACCCCTACAGTTGTTGCAATTTTGGATATCACCCTAGTTCTTGTACGACAAGGAAGTCTCTCGAGTCGCCTTCCACTGTCCTTGGCCGGGTCTTAGCACCATCACACATGTCCTTAATCGCCCTAGTGTATACTAGCCTCCAAGCACCTCTAGCCTCCAAGCACCTCCATATGACTTTCCTTAGGACTTTGTCGTATGCTTTCTCCAAATCAATGAACACTATATACAAGTCCATCTTCCTCATCCTATACTACACCACCAATCTCCTTATAAGATAAATGACTTCGATAGTCGATCGCCCCGACATAAAGCCGAACTAGTTCTCGAAAATAGACACTCTTCTCCTCATCCTCATCTCACCACCCTCTCCCAAATTTTTATAGTGTGTTGTTGCAATTTTGGGTATCACCCTTGTTCTTGTACAGCGAAATTATCGTACTCGACCTCCATTCCTCGGGCATTTTAGATGTCCTAAAAATGACATTAAACAGTCCAGTGAGTCACTCTAAGCCTGCCATGCCCGAGCTCTTCCAAAAATCCATCAAGATCTCGTCTGGCCTGGTTGTTCTTCCCCTGTTCATCTTACGTATAGCCCCCTTAACCTCTTCAACCTTTATACACCTACAACACTTAAAATCTCGGTGACTCTCAGAGTGCTCCAAATCACCCAACACAATGTTCATGTCCCCCTCTTCGTTCAAGAGTTTATGGAAGTATGTCTACCATCTTCGTCTAATATGTGCCTCTTCCACCAATACTTTGCCTTCCTCGCCTTTGATGTACTTCACTTGATCCAGGTCGCGGGCTTTCCTCTCTCACCTTGGCTAGCCTGTACAGCTTCTTCTCCCACCATTGACCTCAAGTTCTTGTCTTCGCAACTGTAACCGCTAACTTCGCCTCCTTCTTGGCTGCCTTATACCACTCCTTATTCATTCTCTTCTCCTCATCGTCTTTGCTTTCTACCATACATATTAAAATATAGACACTTCAAATAGATCCAATACACATTAAAATCTAGAGCAACTCACTAATGACTTCTAAGGTGTACTTCAGAATCAGGTTTACTCCACCACGTGAAGAATCTTATATACTCTCTTTAATTTTTCTATAACCCAAGAAATACAAGAATGAAAACTGCTGGCTTTTCATTCTAAACCTTGATGTTTGACTTTCTTTTAAGATTAAATAAGTATGGTAGGTGGAACAACACATTTGGTCTTGTGCTAGCACATCTTTTTTTTAAAAATAAATTCTTTTGATGGGTTTCAGATAGTTCTAATTAATTGGTATGTTAACTTTGTATTAGGGGTGGGCATAATACCGGCCGAACCGAAAAAATCGGTCGTACCGTAAATTTCGGTTTTTTGGTGTCGATTTAATCGGTTATTCGGTCGGTGTACGGTTTATATATTATTAAATTTCGGTATTCGGTGCGGTTAACGATTTTGGTGTTTCGGTTCTTCGGTTAACCGAAAAACCGAAGTTTTGGGTATGAGAATTGAGAAATATAGGATATTAATTATTGGGTTTGGGTTATCACTTTTGAACATATGGGCTCACCTACCTGGCCACCTCCTTTTTAGCCCAATTTACCCAATACCGTCCACAAATCTGAAGCCCAATTTACCCAAGTCTACTTACGTTACTTCCTAGTCCTACTTCCTTAGAAATTAGAAAATGTCTTAGTTCTAATTAGGGTTCTTGAGTCCTGACTTCCTTCCTCATCTTGCTGGCTGCTGCTGCTGTGCCTGCTGTGCCGACTGCCGCTCGTCGCCTGCTGTTGTTGCGCCTGCTGTGACGCCTTCTTCCTCTTCCGCCACTCGTTTTGGTGTTATTTTCGATTTTTGGTCATCTTTCCTAGACTTATTTTGGTTCTCTCTTGCTGGGTTTGCATATTATTGTTTTTTGTGTAACAGATTAGTTTTCCAGACTTGAGCAATTAGTTTTCCAGACTTATTTTAGTTATTGTTTTACGGCAGTCCCTAGCAGCCTGTAATCAGAGGGTACTAGAGCCTAACTGCTCTGCTCTTGCGATCAGCCTTCGTCCTTTCTGTAATCTGGTGGTTGGAATGGAATGATAGAGTTGACTATATGAATAAGAATGGAATGAAATTCTTACAAAGTCTGTGGTAAGGCACATGGAATGAATAACAAATTACTTAGAGTTCAGTTGACTATATGAATTGTACATAACAAAAATTCCGCTGCATTTACACCTTTTTATTCCAGAAATACGGATAAGTTTGTAGCATGTATTTGATATGGTCTTTCTTATTCATTTCTCATCTTAGCTAGTTCTTAAATTCAAGGTTCTTGTCCTTTTCCAAGGCAAGTAATCTGATTCTTTAAACACCTATTGATATTCCTTTTGAATTTGGTGTTTCGGGTCAGTTAGTTAGGCTCTGCCTTGTATTAATGAGCACCAATTGACTCAATTGAATGATTGATACATAAAAATCTTGCACCGTTAATAACCGAAAAACAAAACCGGAAATAACCGAACCGAACCTTGAAAAAACCGTACCGAACCGTAAATACTTTGGTTTGATTTGGTTATTAATATTATAAAACCGAAAACCGATAAACCGAACCGTATTTTTATACTAACCGACCGAACCGACCGACGCTCACCCCTACTTTGTATCCATTTCAATGGTTAGACATCTTTCAAAAGTTCAATGTGCTTTTTTATATGGAAAAAAATAACTTGAATGCACTTTGCTAAGAACAACGAAGATTTTATGAACGCTATCATTTCTACTATTGAAGGGGAACCTTGACGCAACGGATAAAGTTGTCACCAAGTGACCAAGAGGTCACGCGTTCAAACTGCGGAAACAACCTCTTGCAGAAATGGTAAGGCTGAAGGTACATAAGACCCAATATGGTCCGACCCTTCCCCAGACACTACGAATAGCGGGAGCTTAGTGCACTTGGCTACCCTTTTCTATCATTTCTACTATTACTCAAAAAAAGAATAATAATGAAAGCATGAAAATAATTATAAAAAAAAAAAAGTTAAGTTTCTTCAAGATAATTATGAATGGGACATGGCTAACATTCAATAACAAAAAGACAAGAACATCATATAATTAAGGAAGGAATATAACAACAAAAATGTTATATTCCTTGACCGAAGCTTAAAAGAAAATTTTGAGTCAGAAAGGAACATCTGAGGAGAAGCTCACCTTGGCATCTACAACCCAGAACTGGCTCCTTGCACTTTCAAAAGCAATTTCAGTATTCCCTAACATTCTCGCCATTGTCTTCCTAGCAGCATTAAGAACCCCTATTCCTGCACTGCACCACGAAAAGATTTAAAAAAGAGAAACCTTAAAAGCTTTACCAAAATGCACAGGCTCCTATGCCTAGTAAATATAAACACAATATATTGACCTGTAAGTTGAGCTACACAGATTTTTTATAGCGGAAAAGTCTCTGATGCACATAGATGGAAATTTAACATTTAAAATATAAGGAAAACAAGCCAAGCAAGCCTCATGTTTCCATTTCACTCTGCATGATAAAAATTATGCCCCAAGCAAATGGTATACTGCAGACTACTACTACTTAGTAATGTTTAAGGGTAAGTACAGATGAACATCCTCAAGACAAATAAGCCACAAAAGAAGATAGCTCTCCCAACCTTCTCGAAGTTGTGCAAAGATAGATCTTGGAGGGCAAAATCATGAAAAAGGTTATTGAAGATGGGCCAGTAAAATATCATATGATTAGTTACTTCTATTTTTCATTGATATACCAAGTTCTTTAAGTTATAGTTTGTAAAATCTCAGAAGTTACTAACTTATAGATGTCAAATCAGTCATATACAGTAACTACACCTCAATATCCAAGCAAGTTGGGGTCGACTAAACAAATCATCACTGGCCTTTGCCACTCGTTTAAGATCATCTTAGACCCATATTACACAACATCATCATCAACAACAACAACAATAGCAATATATCAAATCAAATCAGTTATATACCAGAACACTTTTCATTATTAGGTGAGGACATAGTCCATAATAATATGTCAAAAAGGCAGGCCATGAAGCCCCCCAAAACCTAAATGAAATTTCAAAATGGAAAAAGGGAAGACAAGTACTTTTGCATGTTCGGTTTACTGCATGCCATAGCGCAACTGCACGCACAACATGAGCTGACTATTTGGATTGACTTAGGGCCAATGCCCATTTTCTTTAATGTGGTATTAGACCTAGACTCATCCTTGTTCTTGGTTTACGCAATGTTGGGGCCCCCCATGTTATGTTATCTACACTCTAGATGTCCAGCCGTAGGTGTGCTGAGGGGTGTTCACGTCCCATATTGGTAAAGGAAAAAAAGTAATTGTCTCCCTTTATGTCATGAACAATCCTCACTTCATGAGCTAGCTCTTGGAGTTGAGTTAGGTCCATGGCCCATTTTCTTTAACACCGTCAACTGTCTCTCCCCCGTTCTCAGTCCCCAAGTAACTCACGCAAAATGAAAGGCTACAATAATTCAACTCAACAAGAAACCTTATTCCTCCTATGTATCACCCTGAACATCTTCTACCAACACTAACCATTCAACAAACAATGCAAAGGCTGAATAACCAAATTTACTATACTGAATCAAACACTATTTCTATGATGCAAAGTAATTATATATGAACAAAAGGATAGGATTGAGTGGGAACATAGAAAGAGCTGTGCATTTGTGCAATCTAGAAAGAATGAAGCATATGAACCATGAAACAGTTCCTGCATAATGGCATGCTAATGACTCGAGTAAGAAATTACATGGGTGTAATTAGAGGAAAGAACAGTTTACTACTCTAACCTTCCAGCACCTGCCACCACAATCTTCATCTTTGAGAAATCAATCATTGGCCTTCCCTGTGCTCTTACAGCTCCCAAAAGGCCAGCAAGGGCAACTCCTGCAGTTCCCTGAATTGAAAACAAAATGGTACCATGTTTGTTATACAAAACTTGGTTAAACGATGAAGAGCACAGCGAATTTAAGGAACTCCAGTTAGGAATGTATTGAGGTGAAGTTAAGAGCAGACACATACAAGAATGATGCATTACGGCTCTATATTTTAAGAGGAAAGAAGAAAAAATGATTTGAGCAAATCAGTTGACTGGAAGCAAAATGTCTCATTGGGAGTAAGAAACACCCATCACAAACCAAAAAAACTAATAATGCAACAATATGTAAGAAAAAGATCAATACCAGTTGCTATCTAAGTCCCAGATTAAGGTTATAAGCATAGGAAGCAAAATAAAAAATAGTTCTTCGTATACTCGCTTTGCCAATAATTGAATTCTCTCAGTTACACAGCCGTAGTTTAAGTGTTTTCTCACATTCAAACACAACTCTCACAATTTTGAATTTCACATGTTAATGGATGAACATCATACACCGACTATGAGACACTCAAAACTTACAAGCTATAAGCATTGTAAGATTTATGTAACAATATTGCAAGACACATCAACATATGGTTAATTTAGTTAGATTCCCTTTTTCCATAATTACAGGAACCACGCTTCCTGTTTCTCCGACAATGTACACCTCCTTCAGTGGTCACATTAATAATTAATCCAAAAAGACATGATTTTTGTGATACCAAGAAAAACCCTTAGTTCTCTCCACTAATAACTTACCATGTTACTAACTTACATTACATGTGACTCAAATAGGTCAGGCCTAATTCAAAAAGAGAACCTCTCAGTTGCTGTTACAGAAAGCACCGGAAAAAAGAAGGGAAAATACATAAGTTACCCCTTAAACTTGTTCAAAAAAGTCATTTACACACCTTAATTTACAGCAACCTATCATCCCCTATTCTTGTTTGAAGTAGAATTATTACCACCCTGAAATGCCAAAACCAAGAATAGGGGGTGATAAGTCGCCCCTAAAGTTAAGGCGTGTAAATTGTAAATGACTTTTCCGGACAAGTTTAGAGGGCAACTTATGAATTTTACCAAAAAGAAAAGAATCTGGAATGCCATTAAACCATATCTGCCTGTAATTGGTGGACATTATGGAGATTGGAGAGAAAGAAACCAGTGGTGTTCTGAAGGAAAAGCTGAATCTATTTTGAAGATCAAACTCAGTTGTATACTTTTGCTTTCTTTTTGGAAAAAAGAGGAATATTTGTATCCGTGTTAGATTCACCTACAGTACTAAAAGGAACTATACTTTTGGGTCAGTTCACAGTTGTACAAATTACAGCACCCTCTTAGTGCTGTCTTTTGTGAATAAAATCCTCATTTTACTGATAAAAAAATAACATACATGTGATGACATGCACTAAGGTTATGTAGTCATTCGAACTCCATATTAAGAATGCTGGTAATGTCATCCATATAAATTTATTTTTCGTCCTGTCAAAAGTACATATTTTTTCTCAACAATATCGATTGACTCATAAAGCAAAATAGAAGTACTAGATTTTATGAGATCTCTGTTACATGTAACGTCACCAGAAGCTGGAAGTACGGAGATATACTCTGAGATTAAGCATCTTCGTAAAAGTAGAAGCAAGATAAAACATATGTACAGTCAAATAAGCACCCAAAAGAAGGATTAACATTAAGTGAAGTAAACTTTATTGTTTGTGTAAATGCAAAAAAATCCAATATCCAAACTCAGTAAAATAGAATTAAACAGGATGGCTGAAATAGAGGAGAGATATCGGAGTATGATGTGATAGAAAGATCCTTAACAAAGTAAAAGGGAAGTTCTAAAACATGATACTGAGACCCGCCATGTTTTATGAGAGTGAACGTGGATCTCTACCATAAGATGATTATCACAGAGATGCCAGCTTTAATATGGATGTACAGCTACAGAACAATTGGACAAGTCTAAGGACTGATCACACCATGCAAGTAGCATACAGGAAAATGAAAAAAAGGTAGCCTAAGATGATTTGACCATATGCTACAGAGACCTCCAAGGGACCACAGTAGTGCGACATTTGATGATTGAAGGTGCCAAACGGAAATGAGGTAGACCTAGAATCATCTAAGCGGAATTTTCCTCGAAGAACCTACAATCTCTCAAAATCAATATAGACTTGGCTAAGAACAGAAAACAATGAAGTAAAGAATCCATATAGGTGATACAACTAGTTAAGATGAAGGTTTAATTTTATTTGTTACACTTACATTAGGTCCAGTATTTACCAAAGTTTTAATTTGGCTATGTGCGTGCGCACTTGGGAAGGAAGACAAATCCAAGACGCGGCTTGGTGACAAACTAACTGGTTAACCCGAAAATGAAGCAGAGGGCTGGGAATCTTTTGCAAATTGGATCTTGAGAAAGCCTATGATCACATGAACTGGGAGTTCCTGGAATTTATAATATTGAAGATGGAAGGATAGGTGGCGAAATTGGATTAGATTCTGCATATCAACGGCTAGATTCTCGATCCTAGTGAATAGCAGCCCTTGAGGTTTTTTTGGCTACTTGAGGGGCATGAGACAGGGCCACAGGGGGACCTGTTGCCTCACATGTTATTCATTCTAATGAAACATTGAGTTGAATGATAGATGGAGTGAGTTGTGACAGGTGGTTACTTGAGGGGCTTCTCTATAGCAAACGGGGGCAATCTACAGTGAGGGGTTCACACCTCTTGTTCACGGACAACACATACTCTTCTGTGACGTAGACATTAAACAGCTAATTTATCCGACACAGGTTCTTATACAGTTCCAGGACGTGTCAAACCTCACTATCAACCTCAGAAAGTGCGTGATTATTTTGGTGGGTGAAGTGGTCAATACTGAAAAGTGCTAAATTGCAGGGTTGAAGCTCTTCCAACTACTTATCTCAGTTTACTATTGGCTCTTCCAATGGTCTAAGAAGCATGGAGCCCGGTGGTTGAGAGAGAGGAGAAGAGGCTACCAAGATGAAACAAGAAGAAAGTGTTAATTAAGAGTACTTTGTTGAACATCCCTAGGTATTTCATGTCATAGCCAGCATCACAGGTGATTTAGAACGGTTCCAAAAAGATTTTCTACGGGAATAGTGATAGGAAGTTCTACTTGGTAAAGTTGGAAGATGTTACGTCCCCAAACAAATAGGGAGCTGGGTCTTGGATAAAGATCTCTCAGTTTTCAACAATGTCCTATTAAAAAGAGGGTCATGGAGATTCGGGATTGAAGGGAGATGATAGCGCATAAATACATAACAGTGGAAGGAAGGAGGAAAGATTACAAAATTCACACTTCCATTTAGGTGCAGATTTTAGAGGAATATAATGAAATAATGGGAAGACTTCACGGACAACATAATTTTCAGGGCAGGAGATGGATTCATCTTTTGGAGTCACAAGTGGCATGTAGAAGAAACTTTGGGGCTTACATTCCCGAACACTTGCAGTATCTCAAGCCAAAACAAGATGACAGTACCGTAGATCCATTTGTTATGAGAGAGGGTAGTTCAAAGGACCATAAGGTTAGGAGGAACCTTGAAGACATGGAAGTAGTTGAATTCAAAGGCTGAGTAAACTGCATTACAAGCAAATTACATCACACGCTAATTAAGACTCATGGAGGTAGGAAATGGGACGAGATGAATTGTTCTCAGTAATGTCATATTATCATATACTCTTGATGAGGGAGTAATCAGGTTTTCTGCAGTTATCAATTTAGATCTCAATTCACCAAGAAAGATGTGATTTTTTACTTGGTTGGAAGCGATGGGAGTAATCATGACATCACGAATTTGAAAAAAGAAAAGGAGGATTACCTACGTTAGCTGGTGTTTTACATGCAAGATGTGGGCAACTTCCTCCTAATGTCAGGTGGCAACTCGCTTGTGGTATGAGATTTTGAGATGATTGGGACTGCAAGGGGCGATATCGGGTAAAGAAGGCACTCTCTGGCTGAACATTTAAATGAAGGAAGAGAAGTCGAAGAGCATGTTGCGCCATTAGCACTGTCATGGGCGGCTTTCCAACCATGCCCCATGACCCCTTGGACGCGCCTCGTGGCGTCCTGACCAGCTTCCCAACGCCCGTCGCCACGGTCGGCCCCGTGGTCTCGGCAGCTCCAAGTGACAAGCGCGCATGTGCCTCTGTCTCCCCACCGATAGCCATCGCCCAGCCACAGGCAGATGCCAACAAAGCCGCGCGCGCAGACCCTGATGCTAAAGACAAAGTTGCTGCCAACGGACTTGTTTCTGCTTTGTAGAAGACTAAGTCCTTTTCATTGTAAATATAGAGTAGTTTTACTGCATTTTCTTTAAGTGTGATTTTCCAGCTTTTATAGGCCTAGTGATGTAACTTTGGTTTATTTTTTTTAAGCATTATTAAGGGGGACCAAGCAATCAAACTTTCAAGCAAGCAAACAATTCTCTGTACTGATGTCTCTCCTCCCGACACCGTGTTGTTTTTCTGTAATAGCTTTCATTCAATGCAATCAAGCTTTCTTTCATTCTCAATTCTCTTTTCTGCTCTCTTTCAATCGATCACGACATTGGTTTTCCCGTACGGCACTGACAATCTAGTCTAGCGTACGGAAGGGACCTCAGTTGGCGGACAGCAATCGTACTGACATCGGTTGCTTAGCCTTACGTCGCCCTTCCAAGGAACATCAGGAAGGCGTCGCGTAACAGTTGGTATCAGAGCCTAGGCTCGACATCGGACGAGGGATTACATTGCAATTACCACCATTTCTGACCATGGTGAATTATGGGGATCGCATCGCGACCCTTGAGGGAACGGTTGACGCATTACGGCCCATCGTGGAAATGGAGCCCGACCTAAAGATCAGCCTAGTGCAAAGGTTGGACGACCTGGACCGCAGACTGATCCAGGCCGAAGTTGACATAGAAAACATCAGTCGCGACTCTGAAGGAGACCGGCAAACGGCAGCCACAGAGGCAGCCGAAATTTTTGGTAAATTTGAGGTCCTCCAAAAGGAACGCGCCGAGGATTTAGCCAACAGGGCACAAGAGGCAGACAGGGTGACTGCCATGCAACAAACTATAGACAACTTGACAGGCCAGCTCAACGTTGTCAACGCTGCTTTACAAGGCCTGCTTCGAGGAGGTGGAAACCAAATCGGGGGTATTGTGAACCTCGCCCCCGTGGCCCAAAAACTGAAAATTCCTAAGCCAAAGCCATACAGTGGAGCTCGAAATGCCAAAGAA